TCATATCCGGACCACTGTGTGGGCCCCATTGCACCTGTTAGACTTACGTCAGGACACTTTTATACTATTCTGTTTTTTAAAGACAATGAGACAGAACCTTGCGATTAAAAATCAACTCTGAAATACAAATGATTGGGAATGCATGCAATGTGATGTTTTTATTAATATCTCTATCTCTACTATGCATGTATAGTGAATAAGACACTCCCCAGATTTAGGGATTTTATTTTTCTGGAACAGAAACAGTATTTAAAATGGTAGTAAGTCTGGATGTACAAAGAGACAGGCAAAAAATCAAATTTTGTCAGATTTATTATTTTTCATGAAAATTAATATTACCATAGCTATTTTTTCATGCTATTCATTAACATGCCAAGTAATGTATTTACGTGAAAGGGAAATAAAAATCTGATCCCAAACTTTGGTTTCTCAAAGCAGTAACAGATTTATTCTGATTCGACATCTACCACTTTCTAAGGTTGCTGAACAAACACGATATCTGAATCTCAGGAGACTATCCCTTGATATCTAGGTCTATTCATTATTTATATGGACTCTTTATTGGAGACTACTGAACTCGTGAAATTCAAAACATGGAAGTCACAGGATAAGGCCAGTGATTGCCAGTGAATATCTGATGAAATAAATGCTAAAACAAAAGGTATGTGAGGTATAAATTTAATAATTGCTGTACGGTTCCAAGTGTTATTTATCTATAGTCGGGCCTCTCTGGTGATATAGGGGTTAAAGACAGCACTAGCAAGCCATTACCAGCCACTGAAGGGTGAGTTTGATCCCCAGCTGGCCAGGAAGCTGACCCACATGGTGCAGCAGACCTCTCCTGTCTCACCCGCTGCTCCCCCGCTCACCCCAGCAATGTGGTTTGGTAGATCTGCTCCTCACTCTGTCTCCTTCCACCCCCCATACTTCCAACCTACAAACCAGTTCTTGTATGCATAAATAAATCTTAAAAATAATTTTATCTATAGCTATAGTATAATCCACATCCTCTAGCATTAAAACAATAGAGGAAATGTTGTCTGGAGGCATTATTTTGTTTTAGAACAGGGAAGTAAGAGAAGAGTTGTTCTGCTTTGAACTGTGGCTGACACTGGTGAAACCTTCACTCATATATAATGGCGCACTCCAGATACTCCCCAGGGTCTGTCCCTGCACTTCCATAGAGCACCAGTACACTTCTTGGTGTCAAAAATAGCAAAGGAATTGGGTATTACAGTTTTGTAACCCTCAGTTCCAAATAACAGGAGTGATCCTTTATCAGGTATTATATTGCTTACTTGGTTATGTTCAACTGAACTATTACTCTGCCTCCTTTCATCTGTAAAAGGCAGTTGAATGCAATGGCTTTGCAAATGCTGACTCACCAGAAAGGCTCTGACAGCATTATGCCAGCAGTTAAGAAAGATTTGCTGTTTAAGACAAAATAATGAGTTCCTCCGAGTGTAGAGTGCACTTAGATGGAACAGAAGCACCCACCTCACCGTCAGAACCACAGAAACTGTCCTCATGCCTCCTAGTCCTCCGCCCTCCCATGTCTACGCTACGCTATACGCTTTCATCACATCAGCAAGGCAGCTTGGCTGTTTATTTTTTTTTTTTTCTCAGAATGTAGAAAGAGAACTACATAAAGTATCTGCTCATTTTATAAAGCAATTTTTGTGTTGTAGAGTCCTTTACATCAGAGAAGAGGAGCTTCCCTGGTTGCCTGGGGCTGAGTTTCAGTGCTATCACCATGATGTCCTTAGTTCGATCCCAGGCCAGGGAGCTAATCTACATGGTGCCACAGACCTCTTCTGCCTGGCCTGCTGCTCCCCACTCTTCCCTGTATTAAAGTAAATCCACCTGTTCTTCTCTCCACTCTTCTGGTGAATCCCCCTCAACCTTGTGCCCCTGGAACTCTGGCCTACACCCTTGATTTCTACTCAAACATAAGTTGGTAGATAAAATCTTAAAAAAAAAAAAAACAGCGCACAGATATGTAGTATGAGATGTTAGCAACCAGTGAGACAAACTAAGAATATTTTAAATAATAATACACAAAAAAAAGTTTCTAAATCTTAGCTCTGGTTTGTGAATCAATTCTTTATTCTTGTTTTCATGGATATGAACAAATGGGAATTTACCAGTAGGAACTTAGCTAGACTGCATGGAAGAAGAGGAGAGTCAGGTTGTGTTCTAAGTAGGTATCAGCAATGTACTGTCATTGTGCTTTGATCCTGAGAGCATGAGAACATAAGGTACATTGCACCAACTTCCCTGTTTTATAGCTTGTGATCCTGTCTACACTGCCTTTACCTAATCTCTAAAAGATAATCTGGCTATCTCATAAATTACATGAGTAGATGAAATTTTACCACTGACTCATAGTGTCTGATTCATGCTAAATGTTAAGTAGATAATTCAGGAATCTGCATAATACTGAACAGAGGATGGAAAGGTAATCATGATATTTCATAGCCTACTAGGATTATCAAAAATCAAATGGTTCAGACTCCGAGTGGATACGCTTGTTGTTTTGTTTTGTTTTGCTTTGTTTTGTTTTTATAAGATCAAGTATCCAATGCTGACTCTGACTTTGACAAGGTAAGCCTTCATTAGGCAAGGGATTACATGGATATTATTTCCTGGGATACTACTTAGATAGCCCTACCACTTAGGAAACTGTGCCACTCCCTAAATTGTTTTTGTGGCTAGACATGAACCCTTTCGCTCAGGATTCCTTTGATATATTAACATAGCCTTGCCCTCTGAAGCTTTTCTTTAGTTTGAAATGAAACAAGTGTAGTTGTTTCATGACAAATTCAAAACACTCTGCATCTTCTTACTGTGCATCAAAACTGTCTCCAAACACAACATGCTTTAATGGACCCAGTATTTTGCCCTCCCATCAGAAACCCAATGTGAGCACCTTTTGTTCTCTTCTTCAGCTCTCTAATGATGGCAACCTACATCAACTTACTTCTCATTTGGTTTTACTTTCTAGATCTATTTTAGATAGTCACATGTGTGCGTATTTGTCATCATCCAAATATAACGTGACACGCCGAACCCTGGAAGAGTTCCAGTTAGTCACCGAAAGTTTTGCATGATGCAAATCCAAGCAGCTTTGGTTCTGTGCCTTCTTTGGGCTTCTCTCTTCCTCCTCCTCTTGCTCTTCCTCTAAAACTTACTGAGAGTGAAGCATCTAGCAGTCTGAATAATTTACCCCCGTTTTCTTATTTAATCCTTCCAGCGAATGACCATGGTCATTTTTCCATTATGCAAAAAGGTTGACAAAGTTTCCTTTCACAGTTGTTTGAAAGCAAAGTTCATGCACTTTATCCAGGTGGTAAGTTCTGGATCAGCAACTTTCAGGCACAACCTCTGTAAAGAGTTAGGCATTTAATTTATTGCATCTTTTTTTAGTCTATAATTTTCTACTATGTTCATATTGACTTTATGAATAACTATCAAATGTCTAACTGACCGTTTAATACACTATCTGCAAAGTTAAATGGCTAGAACTACTCATCTCTCAACCCCCAAAAAAAATAACTACAACATGATGAGGCAAAACAGAAAAGTATGTTAAAACACAAACTTGGTTACTCTAAAGTGACACAAGAGGCAACATCATAAACAAGTCATCAAGGCAAATTAGAAAGGACATAGATTAGCAGCCTATGTCTAGCTCTGTCACTTTCAGTAAGCTACTGAGTATTTCTGAGATTTATTTTCTTTAAAAAAATAATAATAATAATTTATGGGCCCTCCCTGGTGGCACAGTGGGTTAAAGCATAGCAGTAAGAAGCTATCTGCAGCCACTGCATCATGAGTTCGATCCCTGGCACAGCAGACCTCTCCTCCTGCCTCCCAGCTATTCCCCTCAGTAGTGTATTTCAGTTCATCAGCCTGTTCTGTTCCCCACTCTGTCTCTGATGAATCCTTTTGTCTCCCATACCTCTGCATAAATGAATAAATCTTTAAATAATAATTTATCCTAACAGCTGCGTAACTACGAACAGTTGGGTACTTGGATCAATATTATTAAAGTAAACTCTAATAGATGCAACACTAATAGATTGACTGGCGGTGCTAGGCAGGTGGTGATCGTGTAGGTTAGTCTATGCATTGGTGAAAAATCCAAAAAGCTCAGTGGTTAACACTACATGGGTGAATGTCTGCACTGCTGTCTAGTGCTAATTGGCAGGGGGATTTTAGACAGTGTAACCACTGAACAAGCCCGGATGACAAAGGCTTTCCCTGCAGGGTAAACTAGTTGCTGAGACAGAAGAACGAGCACTACACCCAAACATAGGGTGTCTTTAAGGTCTGTCTGTGGAAGACATGCATTACAGTGAAGTTTAGGTTGTATACATGAGGGTACCCTTCCCATTTCATTTTGTGGTTAGGGAAGTACTTGAAACTAAATGAATCGCTGTCCCTCATGTTTTAATCTCAGGGTAGAAAACTCCCAACCCCGTCAATTTCTTATGTGCATGTACAGTCACAGTCTTTTTCCAAACACCATCCACCCCCATCCATATATGCAAAAACACACCTCAGGCATGGTTCCTTGCACTGCTCCTATAGCTATCTGTTTTATTGTCTGTCTTTTCCAGTTTTATGTAATTTCTGAGAAGTCTGTCATTCTTGTGTGAAGTTCCTCTTCTTTGTACTTTGAGACTCCAAAATAGGAGGGTTTTTAAATAAAAGTTTATGCTGCATTTATGCATTTATGTTTGTTTTCACTAGCATGACATATCATCACCATGAAGGGCTTAGATTGATGTAGCAAGAAGTAATGTCTGGAAATTGATGTCTGTTACATAAGGACAGCTGACGTGACTACCTTTAACTATATAAGCATTATCGATATTAACAGACTAGACTAATTTTTTAGATGAGCTAAAATAGTCATATACATGGGTTACCCATGGCATGCAGGATATAAAGAACTTGACTGTCAGTAGAAAGAGGCATATTGTGATATTTATTTTTGTTTTTTTTTTTCCTTTTTTGACTTGAAACTTGGTTCCAACATTCAAAAATGAAGGGCAGGGAATTGGACAGAAAAAGGAACATTCTAGCTCCAGCCTCCTCTCCAGGATCAGTGTCAAAGTCCCTTCATTCAGCAGGATGAGGCAGTGAGACTGAATTTCAAACACTTTGCTTTTCCTTTTGTGAGCCATTCCACCCAAATCTGTGTTCGCCTGATGCCTCGAAGTAGCCAGAAATACAACTGTTCTTCACAGTATTCTGCTGTGTGTGGTTCATAGGACAAAGATATTTCAGATGACAAAGAAGTTTTAGAGTTTACCCAGCTTAACCTCATCACTTTGTAGAAGTGGAATCATTTTTATAAGAGACAGATGCAGCTTCTTGTCACTAACAGAAGTATCGTTAATCGCTTCCTCCTTCTGAACATGCACCACATGGAAAATGAAGGCTGTTTTAGAGCTGCCATGAGGTGACAGGTTTGCTCTCCAAGGTCTGCGAAAGGAAAACATCGAGGGAAAATGTCACTTCTGCTCCCTTTGCCTCCCGACCTTGCTGCTTGCCAGGTGCTCACTTTATTTAGTAGATCCCAGCACATTGCTGCTCAGAATTAAGAGACACCCAAAGGGTGATTTAGGGAAACTTCACTCTTTTACAGATTTATTACAAATGTGTTGCTTGACCCTGGATCAATAAATCTCTCTTCTATTCATCTCGCATAGGAAAAGGTACTGTACTTATTTTTTTTTCACCCTTTGTAACAAGCATTTTAAGGTTCTGTTAAAATGAGAGAAGCAGCTTTTTCAGAAAAAAATGAACATCAACCAGGTCTTGTATATCAACTTAGTTGTCAAATCTAAGAGGGTAATTCCCTCAGAGGGTACTTGGCCTCTGACAGCAGGTAAATTGTATGTTGCTGCAAATTGTATAATTCCAAACAATACACATCACTCAAATGCCTAGGACTGAACCTGGCATGTTCAATTAAAGAACAGAGCAGCACAATGATAGGATTGTAGACACTATTTCCACGTGGCTGGTGTGGAGGAAATCGTGTAGTTAAGTGCTTTATAACAGTACTGTGTGGTCAACATAAACACTAACTTTATTAACTGGGAGATTAGGACTTGGAGATATTTAGGTCATTTTCATTTTTGCTTACCATATCAAACACTTCCTTTAATCTGAGTTCTTTAGAATTTTCTTTTCCTCTCTTTAACTCTAGTTTGACTCCTATCATCTCTGAAAGTCTGGACCATTTCTGCTGAAAAGCACTCACTTGTTGAAATTTCTAATGCAACCTAATTGGGCCTTCATTGGGTTCTTCTTTCCTCCAAACTTTATGGTTACTGTCTAAACCCATTTTGATTTGTAGGATTGTGTTATACTGAATTCACATTTCCAAAGGATCTTGAAATGTCACTCTTCTGAAGATCAATTGATCAATAAACTCCCCCAAAAGAAAGGCCACGGCCCCTGGTTAGAGAAGGGGCTTCCATTGTAAGAATTTTAGGTTTGGCTTTGCTTGTTCTTTCTGGCTCACTGTCAGCCTACCTACCCTCCTCAGACACCATTCTTCCTTATCACAGGCACATTTTCACCTCTGTGTTGTGCCTATGGACACTCGTTTTACTGTAGAGAAAACACTGCCTACCTGGTTTATTGGCGGAAGGTGAATTCAGTACAGTTCTCCTCCGGAGACCTTAAAAGATGCTTCCACAATTCTTTTCTAAGTGTCTATTGCTCTACCCAAGGATGTTTTTAATTTGAGGAATTTGACATATTTGATTTTGTTGTCTTAAATAATTCCCCTAAGCTTATCGCCCTACAGATATAAGTAAAACTTAGATTCTTAAACAGTAGTTACTCCAGGGTTTTGTGGCTTCCTGTTTCTGTTCCTTTTGAAAACACTAGCTTCTGCATGAGTATTTTGGATTCCCTCCATAATCAGCATGGCTTCTGACTTTCCAATTAAAGAAAACAGAAACAGGAGCAGAGGGATCAGTTGAGGTGAATCTGAGGTCTCCCTTTATGAGGTGTAAGGGAGGTAGTTAACTAATTCCCCAGTGCTCCCAGAAATGGTAGGAGTTCATGGGAAAGCTCTTATCTCTTTGTTACCTGCCACTTGTATTTTCCAGTGTGTTATACCTGTTACTTTACTGCAGGGTTATGATGATGCCAGTTCCTTCCAGAGTTTGTTAATAATGCACAGACATTTTAAACCACTGATTTAAAAGCCCATCTGTTCTTTGTCAGGAAGGTTAACAAATCCTGGATCTTTTTGGTCATCATTATTGCAGTAATTCAATTGTAGTAACTTTTTTTATATGATAAAATTAAATCCAACATGAACCAGCATGAACAAGATCAGAACAGCAGAGAACTCCAGAACTTTTTTATCTATGTATCTCCTTTAAACAAACATGGGCAGTTCATACACAGGTAATGATATAGCTGAGGTCATAACTCTTTTGAGCTTATGTGGATTGTCTCAAAATTAAAGGAAATGACGATAAATGTCCATGTCTTTGGTATTAAGCAGCTCTATAGACCACGTGTCCATTTTGAAATTTTACATTTCAGTTGTCATCCTGACACTTGCAAGATTCCTTCTAACAGAGGGAGCTCCCTCATCATAATTTGCCCAATCCTATTAACTGGCAATTCTCATATGTCTATGCAATTGTAGCCGGTCTATAAAAAAAAAAAAACATATGGATTCAGGCTCTTGTGAATACTTTATAAGGACTGTCTCCTGATTTCTTACATACAATATGCATTGGACTTTGAAGAAATATTTTTATCTTTTCTATTGGTCCATCAGTCTCAGTGGGGCTGAATTCCTTGTGCTAGCTGATACCCATTAAGTAATATTTGCATAAAAAGAAAAGAAATAAATCTCAGATTTCTCCCATGCCACTTATAGTGTAGCATGACCAGTCACTGCAGCTTACCTTTCTTGTCCTACAACAGAAGTTTTCTTCTGATGCTGAAGCAAATGTCAACTGGAATATAATAGAAAAATCTCTAGCAATCAGATGGACGTTGCCTATGAGTGTGGCCTCTTGCCAGTCATCACATAACACCGCTGTCCCTGGCTTCTATGAAGATAGCCTTAGGGTAAACACTGCATGGAAGTTAGATTCTTTGTTCTCTAAGGATGGGGCATAGGAAGAAGTCTTTTCAGAACTCTTTCAAGGAAAGGTAGTCTCCAGGTAATAACAGCTGAAGAATCTGCTTCTTTTGAGCAAAAGGACTATTCTCTTCAAGTGGCCTCCAGCCAATGACTGAGCAAGATGACCATCCAAGGGCCTGGAGATTGCTACCTCAAACAGGACTTCTTCAGTGTTCAATCTTTGTCTGAAGATCACTTTTGGGTTAGAAAAGAATTTGACATAAAGTTTCATCATGGTTTCTATTACAGTAAGAGCTATCAGGAAATAAATAGCTTTCACAGGACAAAAAAAGCATTTAAAGCAACTACAGTCCTTATGCCTTTATCTCTAGAATGATACGCAGTTTTATAAAATAAATAATGTACAGGGCTGGAACAATAGAAAATGTCGGTAGTTTTTTGTTTTAGTTTTATTCAAACATTCCTTTATAAAATTAAGCAACTGTATACATTTGAGATTTTGTATTTTGTTGTCTGTTACTTTTACTATATGATCTGCTTCTTTTATCTAGTGTTTAAATACTGACCCTGAGATGTAAGTAGATTATATGCATATTAGCTTCATTCAACATTTTCAAGTGTGGGCCTCCCTGGTGGTCCAAGGGTTTAAGTCTCAGCACTAGGAATCTCTCCCCAGCCACTGCTGCATGAGTTTGATCCCCAACCAGCGAGCTGACCCACATGACACAGCTCCTCACTCACTGCTCCCCTAAGCAGTGCATTTTGGTTGATTTGCCTGTTCTGCTCCCCATCTATTGCTGCTGAGTCCTTACAGACCCACATACAACTCTGGCCTAGATTCCAGCTTGCATCTGCATAACTAATATATCTTTAAAAAATAAATAAAATTTTCAAATGTTTCCAAAGTAATACATTTCACAAAACATTCACACTAGTGTTTTAAGGGGCATCTGTTTATTTTTTAAGATTTATTAATTATGCATACAGAACTGGGGTACATACAGAACTGGGGTAAAGGCCAGAGATGCAGAGACAGAGTGGGGAGCAGAACAGGCAAACTGATGAAGTACACTGCTGAGGGGAGCAGTGGGCAGGGCAGGAGAGGTCTGCCATGCCATGTGTTTTACCTGTGAGGCCGGGAATCAAACTCACGCAGAAGTGATTTTAGCTTCTTAATGCTGTACTTTAACCCACTGCATCACCAGGGAGGGCCCTTATGGGGCATCTTTATAAAATGTCATTTTCATGAAAATCTAGAAATTGAGAAGCTCTATGATTCACTCGCAAAGTCAAGATCCTAACGGGGCTTACGAGCCCCATCTCACATGTGAATTGGTGCTTCTTAATACCTGGACTGTAAGGAGAATGGATCTTACTCCCATAATTAGGTTACTTTATATGGCACTATGACCTTAAATTAGGGAAGTAATCCAGGTGGACTTGACCCAATTTCAAGAGACCTTTAAAACTAGAGAAATTGCTTCGTCTTGGGGCAAGTAGAAAGCCAGAGATTTGAAGCAAGGGAAGGGAAGAATAAAAAATGCCATCCATTGCTTGTTTGATGGCAAAGTGCAGGTAATAAGAAATTAAGACAGCTTTTGGGAGCTACCATATTTTAGGTACAGGCACTACTTAATATGTGGGCTGTAAAGAGGATGGGTAGGCTGCCATCATTAGATCACTTTGTGTAGCACAGCTAACCATTAGCAAAGAGACCTCAATCATGTAACTACTCATACCTTCCCTACAGAAGTATGGGCTTACACAACTTTAAGTGTGTGGTAATTTGTTATACAACAGAAATTAATCAGTTATTTCATGTTTTAGGAATAATACAGTTAGAAAACATAAACTTCTAGAGCTCTCCAAATAATTAATTTCAAAATATACTGTTTTATGTTATAAAAAATGATACTTTAAAAAACATTAAGCATTAATCACTTTCTAACATTGTGCAACAATACTATTAAAGTGCATGGAAATAAGTTGGCTTTGGGTAAGCAGCAACAAAGAACTTCAATAACACAACTCAAATGAAAAAAAGACCTGAGAGTATAAGAAATTTTCTGGGATGATGGCCAAACATTTCATGTGTTGTAATGAGAATGCTACAAAGAATGATTTATCAGTGGAATTATAAAATAAGCATCAATACCCAGTTCATAATAAGACCTAGCACAATATTTCTGACCCTGCTTTTTCCAGGGTAGATTTTCCAGTAGACCTCTTTCTCTGACCATGGAATGTTCTCTGAGCTTGCTTCAGTCACTTTCCTAGTATGCAGCAAAGTGATGTACATTGCTGAGATCTATTGTTTATAACCGTCAGTTCTTTTATCCTCTTGGACATCCAAATCTATTAGAGACAACTAAAGTATTTAAAATTTATTGCTGAGAGGTTTGGAGATTCAGCATATAATCTAACAACTGTATAATTGGGACTAACGTGAATAAAAAAGATGACCTTTAGATTTAGTCTGAAAGTTTTTTTTGAAAGTATGTAGCAGAAAAATAGGACTGTTTTAATTTAAACTAATACATGTATTCCATCATGGATTTGCCAAAAGGAGCTCTTGATTAGCAGTAGTAAGGAACGAAAACCCACTCTCTGTTCCATCATTTGCTCTTGAATGAATATTTACATGTTCACTCAGATGCTCTGAATGTATATGTTGTTACATGGAAAAACAGAATTGTAATGCTTATTTAGGTATAGATGCACATCTATGTCTCATGCTTAATGAATATTTGCTCAATATCTGACATAGTCATGCTTGGCACCTATATTATTCTCAACCTCACAGAAATTCCGTGAAAAAAAATTTTTTTTTTTTTCATATTTAGAAAATCTTAAAGCAGTGAGGTTAGTTAATTTGTCAGTGGTAACCTAGCAGTTCATTGGTGAAATCATGACTGAGAATCCGCTGGGCCACAGATCCCTCACCTATTTATATATATATATATGATCCCTCACCTATTCATGTATGTGTGTTGCACACACATACACACATATACACACACATGTGTGTATATTTTTTTTACATCATTCTCCGTTTTCATACATACATGCTTTATCTGCTCATGCATGGTCCCCAAGGAGTTCCCACCACCAAATCACCCATGCACCATCACCATAGTCTCATGTATACACCAGGCTTCCTTGGTAGATTCTTCTGTTAGAGTAAAACACCATGTTTTTACCTTGTGTTTTTAAGAACAATCCCAGTTCAGGTTATCAACATGACCTGGAAATATTAAATTAAGGTTTAGTATGCATATATAATTAATTTGTATACAATTATATAACAGAAAAAGACAGCAATGTTAAATAAAAGTTTATTCATTGACTACCTTTTTGAGGCAACTGATTTAAATGTAAGATTTTTATTGGGATTAGTGTATATCCAACAAACATAGTTCTGGCAAAGTGACCACATGAGAAAAGTTATGATATAAAAATAACTTGCCTAGAGATCAGGCTTGAACATTACAATTTTGACTGATACTAACAATAGAGAATATTTGAGCTGATTAAAGGAAAATGAAGCATAGGGCAATAAAGCTTGATTATGAAGACTTGATAATAGTCACTGGGTCTATATTCGTTACTGATAATAGTCACTGGGTCTACATCAAACATCATTTTCCTGAAAGGAAAAGAAAATCATATTTGGAAACAGACAATCAGGTTCAGCCAAAGTCTGCAATGAAAGGCTGCTTTGCCTGTGCCAATCAAACAGTGATTAAAACTGGGCACGCTCATGTCCACTACGTTGAAAGTCTATGAATCTGCAGGGTATGTTTATTAATACACTCCAATAGACCCATGACAATCAGTATAATAAGGGATTGGAGCGTTTGGGTATATTTCTTAGTCTTTCCTATATATCAGGGTAAAGAAAATGTGCACATTTTACTTTAATTTATAGGAATTTTTACCTTTCTCAAAATATTCTGCATTCCACACTCAACATATATATGGCCTCTGCCCCTCAGAAACTCACATCTTGCAGGGATGCAGACCACAAAGGCATACTTATAGTGTGTGAGGAAATCTGTGCTTTGATTTAGGAGGAAGGCAGAATTCTTCATGTTCTCAGGAGGAATTGTCCATCACCGCCTCTGCGCATGAAGGAAGATTTACAAAGCAAAGACCATTTGAGCTGGATCTTGTTAGATAGAAAACTGAGCAGGAAAGAGTGACAAGCTATTCTGGAGAGAGAGAAAGGAATGTACAAGGCATGAAACGAAAGACGTGACCCGAGAAAGATGATTAGTTCCAAATCATTGCGTGGGAGGGGGGTTATTAGTGAATAGCCATTATTCATGCAAGTTGAATCACCAAGTTCCTACATCCTCTTTATTCATAAACCTTTGTTCCTTCTGGTACTCAAAACTATTGCCCGACTTCTGAGCTGACCTTATAGTAATTGCTTGCAAGGGTTGCCCATGTTCAGTCTCTGTTTTCATCCTGTCCCACACCATTCTGACAGGGAAAGTATAAGTAAACCTGTTTGTTCAGACTCCTTCAGCGGTTCTCAGCATCTTAAGGACACAATTTAAGCCCTTTGATAAAGCAGGTGAGAATTTTTTTCTTCAGCACATCACCTCCACATGCCAACAGCTATACCCACGCATTAGTTCTGCCTAAGGAATTGCAATCCCCTGACATCTTCATTCTTATATAGCCATTATCATACTCTTATACCTATCTGTAAATTGTCCTTTTCATTTTTTCCACACTGAGATCAAATTGCATTAAACATTGTGTGTGTGTGTATATATATATATATTATATATAATCTCTGCATCACTGAAAGGTGCATTGACTACATTAATTTCACCAAGTAATACTGTTGTTTCACAACCATGGTGAAGAGAATCAGCTCAACCCATATTTTTAAGGTTCAAAATGTGCTGAAATCACTAGCTGTTTGAATAGTTTCTTCAACCCTACCTTTCTTAACTCATTACTTCTTTCAGGTCTCAGAGGACATTTTATGCAACATTATGATGTTGCACCAGCTCATTTTGCCGATAATTTATACTACCCAGCACACTACGGGCAGTCTCTACTCTTTGAGAGCAAGAAGCTCTATCTTACTTCTTAGGATAAGATCTTAAAAGAACTTGAAGCAAAAATGGACTCCTAGAAAGTTGTTGAATACTTATCTACAGAGAGATAAGTAAGAAGTTTGTATATTAGTCTTTAGACAATGGTTAATTAAAGGTTTTTTGGCTAAAGGATATAAACTGTACAATTAAATCAGTTTCTTGTAAGTATTCTGTTTCCAATATGTTATAACTGTTATGCATTTGTTATTTCAACACTCAGTCCTACCAACAGCACCTTGTACTGTTTTTGCTGGTAAACAGTGCTGCATTTATTGATATTTTGGTAATGAGTTTCAGGTAGGATTTCTCTAGTTGAAGCATTACCAGGAAAGTTGAGTTGGCTTGGGAGATAGGTGTGTTGTCTTAGATGAGAATGCTTTGCCAAGGTCAAGTATCTGATTATGAGACTGTAGGGATTGATTTGAGAGTCTTCCCTGAAATGGACAACTTAATGTTAATTGTAAATGGAAGGGATTTGGGCCTTCCAGGGTGATACAGGGGTTAAAATCTCAGTACTATGAAGCTATCCACAGCCTACTGCAGCACAAGTTCGATCCCCAGCCAGGGAGCTGACCCACAGGGCACAGCAGATCTGTCCTTGGTTGCCCGTTCCTGCCATCAGCAGTGTATTTCAGTGGATCCACCTGTTGTCTCTACTCTGTCCCTGGCAAATCCTCTCACTCCCCTGTACCTCTGGACTATACCCTAATTCTTGTATGCATAAATATATAAAGTAAATCTTTAAAAAATGAAAGGATTTCCACAAGGAAAGGGTATTTCCGGTAAAGACATATAATTAATTTTGTTGTGTTTTAAAGTTGAAACATGTATAGCACGTATGAAAGATAGATTTCTGTGCTAAGTATCCAAATTTATTCCAGAGGTTGAAACTGACTGTAGGCCTACCTGTTATATATGTATATCCACAAAAAATATTACCTTACTATAATCACTATGAAGGAATACTTAAAGATAGTGATTTTTATACAGCTGTGTAGAAGGAACCTTTAGAAAATCTAGTCAATTATCTATGCATAGTAGACTTCTTTCCAATTTTGTAATAGTTTGGAATGAATTTTTCTTATTAATAGACTTCATAAAATACATAAAACTTGTCTCTGCAATACTTTGGAGTACTTGATTTTAGTACTTAATTTTCATATTCTAACTGTATTTGCTTAAGTGGTATAAAATCCAAACTAAACAACTACTTAAAGGAAAAGACTTGTAAGGGGTCAACTAGTTGATTGACCTTTTATGTTGAAGGTGTAAATCTGGCTAAAATTAATCACTCAGAATGATGCATTGCCATTGTCACGTAATTGCTGTCAAATATTGTTTACTTAGTTGTGGATCTTAATTTTTAACAATTTTTTCCTAAATTAACAGATTGTAAAATAATTCACCTAAGCATAATATAGAAACCATCAAACTATCAGTATTATTGGTCTTTATAGCAGTAATGCTTTTTTTTTTTAAGATTTATTTATTTGTACATACAGAACTGGGGTACAGGCCAGAGGCTCAGGGGCGGTGAGAGGCTTCACCAGAGACAGAGTGGGGAGCAGAACAGGCAGATCTACAAAGTACACTGCTGAGGGGAGCAGCGGGCGGGTCAGGAGAGGTCTGCCACGCCATGCGGTCACCTCTGGGTCTGGCGGGAATCAACTCATGTGGAAGTGGCTTTAGCTTCTCAGTACAGTGCTTTAACCTGCTGTACCACCAGGGAGGGCCCAGCAATGCTTTTTATAATCCTTGTACTGGCTAATTAGCTTCCAGTCTTACCCAGTCCTCATTATTTTCATGGAATCTTTTCACGAAACCAGCACATGAAATATGTATCATGTAGCAACAGAGAAACAAGTCCTTGCTCAATATAAACTTAAAGGAATAGTTTGTATCCAGGGTGTTTGTGGTGTTTAATTATAAAAATGGAAGTTCTCAGTGAAATATTAGATCTGAATTATGGAGGATGATGTGAATTATTAGAACAAAATATTACTTTATAGACCAAGTATATAATGTGATACAGATTTTACAACCCTTGGTGTAATGTGTTGAAATCTCAATGACCTTGTAATATTCCTGAGTAATTATTTTCTGGGAATAAACTCCTTGTAAGCACACTATTTTTATTAAGTACTTATCAAATTCTATGTGTATAACTAATGCTTATTGAAAGAAAACCTGTGGATTTATTTCTTAATATCTGTAACTGTTATTATCCAGAATTCTCATGCAGGTAAAATACATCTAGAGATCAGGGACTATATATCATCAATAAAAAGTTTGTGAATGCCATTATTATTACCCCCCCCTTTGTTAGTGCAAAGGAAACATTCTTCAACTTCAGTTTCTCAAGTTTTTTTCTCAAATGCCATTTCATTTCTGTTTTATTGGCCAGATATAATAAGAACAATACTTTTTGTTTAGTGATATTTCTTGATGCTTAGTAGCATGAAAATACCACAGAATCATTTACCACCTCACATTCATTAAAAGGCCTTATTCTCAGATGACTCACTTAATGGCCTTGCATCTGACTTGGTGAAACTTTGTTTTTCCCTGATCTGAATGTTCCAGCTACTCATGCTCATTCCTTGGAAGAACACTTCTGGTTCTTCTTGCTTTGTTTTATTAATTGCATTTTAAAGCTTACAATTGTGCTTTAGGAAATCTAAAAATAATAATAATAATAATGCACCATGAATATCTCCACTACAATATGCAAATTTTGGTTGATGAAAGGATTTTCTCAGCTCAATAGGAAGACACAGTTCTCTCCCTTCATTTTTCTACTGCAACTCTCTATGTTTCCATCTTGGCAAGACTCCCAATTCGTTGATTTAATATTTTCCTTTCTTCTTCTTGAACTTTTACTAGATCAAAGACCTAATATTTATATTCTCCTTTAATTGTATCAGTGACAATCTTCTCTCTCTCACATTTTCTATTCTACCGGGCAATAAACACACCTATGCATTGCTTAGTCAGTATGTTTTCCTTTTGTTAGTGGACTATAAGCTCATTACCTCCAAAGCATTTTGGCCACACTCTAAATCCCTGGCAACCTACTGTGATTTCTGTATTTAGTCATTACATTATCAGTTCAACTCTCTCTTCTCCTCTATAAAAATGGGAGCCAGGATGTGAATATCCTCAACTACAATTCAATATGTGTGCAGAAATTACCATTCACTTATTAATTACCACTGTAAAGTAGCATCGGATGTAACTCTGCATTCCTGTTTTCTTTTCCATGATTGTAAACATGATTCAGTCTTTCTTTAGCTCATTCTAGACACAGTATCCTAAGGGTTGATCAGCCGTGCTTTGACTCTCATTCATGACTGCCACTCCAGGATGTGGCTCTTATAAGCCTTGTCCTTCTTCTGCACTATTTGAGCCTTGTCTTTCTGGCTGATGGTCAATGCCCACCCACTCCAGCTTCTGGGAAACAAGCAGTTCTGCTTTTCCCTTATATGCATAGGTCAGGCACAGAAAAAAAAAAAAAAAAAAACACTGCACCATTGTTTTTATCAGCTTGGATCTTCGGGAAACTTGACTCAGGAAATCTAGTTCATTCTTCATGGAAAAATAGGTCCTGTATCTTTTTGTGAACTAGAGTTTGTAATCATCACAAGGGATGAATCTGTCATTCACAGTGATTCTTAGGAATCCCCCCGAAACCCTGGTTTATTCTATTAACACATCTCTCCCACTTTAAAGTGCTGGGCTCTTATTCACTCTTAAGTCCAGGATACATTCATTCAAAGGCATGCATTTCATCTCTAACTCTTTAGAAATCCAGAGTTGGCCCTCCCTGGTGGGCACAGTACTGCGAAGCTGGCCTGGCTACTTCAGTGCCAGTTCAATGCCTGCCCCAGAGCTGACACACATGGCGCAGCAGACCTCTCCTGACCTGCCCGCTGCTCCCCTCAGCAGTGTACTTTGTTCATCTGCCTGTTCTGCTCCCCACTCTGACTCTAGTGAATCCTCTCAAGGCC